CTATAGAGAGATGGCCTTTATTTGTCAGCTCTGACAAATGTGTGTCATTTCTCGCTTTCTTTCTCTCTTTCTCCTCTCTCTTCTCTTCCTCCTCCTCTTCTTCATCTTCCTCTTCTCCTTCTTCTTGTTCTCTCTCTCTCTCTATCTCTCCTCACTTTCTCTTGACCTTCAAGAGGCAGCTCACATCTTGTGACTGAGCAAGGTGGAGGTAAAATGACACTTGGCCATTTGGCCTAACACAAGACATCCTGGTAGGCAATAATTGCCCTGAGGTTAAACAAACAAACAAAAAAAAAAAAAAAACAGGTAGAAAGAAAAAAAAAAAATATATATATATATATATACACACATAATTTTAGGGGTGGTGTTTTTTCTTTTTTTTTGGAGGGGGGTAGTAATGGGGATCAAACTCCAGGGGGCACTATCACTAAGTTACTAAACTATATGTCACTATCACTAAGTTACTAAACTATATGTCACTATCACTAAGTTACTAAACTATATGTCACTATCACTAAGTTACTAAACTTTTGTAAGTTGTAGATGGACACAATATTTTATTTATTTTTTTATGTGGTTCTGCAGATCGAACCCAGTGTCTTACATGTTTGAGGCAAGCATTCAACCACTGAGCTACAACCCCAATCCCCCAGTCCTTTTTTAAATTTTTGAGACAGGGTCTTGCTAAATTGCCCAGGTTGGTCTCAGATTAGAACCTGTATTCATCTCAAGTCACTGGGATTACAGACTTGTGTCATCACACCTAGCTAGAAAATATAATTTGAATTTAAAAGTCTTTTGCCTTAATGCTTTGCATACCTTTCTTCCCAGGCCTGTTACTCCCCAATCCAGTTCTCTGTCCCAGGCCTGTCATTCCCAAATTTCTGGGAGACCTTCAAATCTTAGTTATTGTAAATTCACTCACTTATCAAAATTACCTTGTGTACTATTTAGTAGTCCATTTAGTAAACAGACTAAGCAAAAAAAAGAGACAATATTTTAAGAAATCTGTACTGTAGGGTACTTCTTAATGTTCTCTATTTCAGATCAAACAGTGGAGAACACTTTACCCTAAGAATCCTGAGAATGATCAAACCACCATAAACATCTTGTGATTTCAGACTGATGTCATCCCCACATTATCTTCCCATACCCACTCTTTACCAAGTGTTCTTAAAAAAAAAAAAAAGCCCTGGGGGAGCTGGGGTTTTGGCTCAGTGGCAGAGTACATGCCTCATACATGTGAGGCACTGGGTTCAATCCTCAGCACCACATAAAAATAAATAAAATAAAGATATTGTGTGCATGTATAACTTAAAAAAAAAAAAAAAAAGCCCAGAATCCCAGGCAAGAGAGTCTCTCTCTCACTCTCCCTTGAATTGTCTTTTTGATGTTGTTGTTGTTGTTGGTACAGGGGATTGAACTGAGGGGTGCTTAACCACTGAGCAATATCCCCACCCCTTTAAAAAAATATATTTTATTTGGAGGCAGGGTCTCACTGAACTGCTTAGGGACTCTATAAATTGCAGAGGCTGGCTTTGAATTCTCAATCCTCCTGCCTTAGCCTCTTGAACTGCTGGGATTACAGGTGTGCACCACGGCGCCAAGCACTTTTTTTTTCTTTTAATATTTTGTTTTAGTTGTAGACAGACAGAATACCTTTATTTTATTTATTTTATTTTTGAGGATCAAACCCAGTGCCTCACGTGTGTCAAGTAAGCGTTCTCCCACTGAGCTACAACCCTGGCCCCTGTATTTTTTGCTTTATCCCCAAATGATGTCTCACTCTTTTTTTTCTTTTTGGGGTACCAGGGATTGAATTCAGGGGCACTCAATCACTGAGCCATATCCCCAGCCCCATTTTGCCTTTTATTTAGAGACAGGGTCTCACTGAGTTGCTTATCACCTCACTTTTGCTAAGCTTGGCTTTGAACTCGTGATCTTCCTGCCTCAGCCTTCAGAGTAGATGGGATTACAGGCGTGCACTACTGCCCTAGTGATGTCTCACTCTTGTGATAGTCCATTGTCCCTTGAATGTGTCTCTGCCTCATTCTTAAATTCATTTCTGCCCAACTATCCCTTTCAGGGAACTCCTCCTTGCAGAGCTGACTGAGGTTTTAATTGAGTCCATAATGTATTCAATGTCTTCCTCTGCCTAATACTGCTTTCACCCGCTTCCTTTCACGAGACTTGATTTGCAATAAATACCTTGAACCCCAAACTCAGTCTCAGTAACTGCTTCCAGAGAAGCCAGGCTTTGATACTAGATGATGGGTATCCTACATAGCCTACTGTCACCATAAATAGGTTCATTACTCCTAAAATATATCCTAAACACTCATCTGAACTTCCCACCACACAGCTATTTTCCTGTATTATGAGCATCCTAAACTAGTCTTTCAAAAACTTTTCTCCCAAAGAAACCTGCTTCTTTATCTCTTCTCCCTTAACAATGATACCACCATTCACCTAGCTCCCATCATCATATTTTTCTTACACCCTGAATTATCTATTGTTAACAATGTGTGTGTGTGTGTGTGTGTGTATATATATATATATATATATATATATAGAGAGAGAGAGAGAGAGAGAGAGAGAGAGAGAGAGAGTTTGTTTTTGTGATGCGGTTACCCTATGTTGCCCAGCCTGGCTCCCTCAGCCTACCGAGTAGCTGGTACTACAGGAACATGCCACCATGTCAGCCTTTAGCAGTTTAAAACTTCTAAAGAAGTTATAGAGGCTGAAAAGAGCAGCACCAAGTTTGGTTCATAAGTACTCCAAAAGTAAATAAAAGAGAGCGAATGCAGCTAAGCCTTTTGCCTCTGATAAGAGAAAGCAAGGATAAAATGAGCAAAAAAATTATGGATAGTATTGGAAGTTGCGCTTATTAACAGTAAGACAAATTCTCTTAGGGGTTTCTGTATAATTTCTTCCTACTCTAAAAGTGTTTTGATCACAATTTAAATTGTGATACCAGTAGCCTGTTACAAAGAACCCTTGAAATACCAGTTCAAGAATGCCCTTCAGGAAAGGGCAAAATGTGCAGCTCAAACTCTGAAGATCCACTTTCCTGCTTTTCCTTCATAAAACTAGTCAGGCCAAAATGAATTTCAAAGATCAAAACCACCCAACATCTTCCTAAAATGCTGGACAGAGATATAAATTCTGAGATTCTGTCCAACAGATGGGACTATAATCCTGCAGGTAGATCTTGACTCAACCCCTATTCACATCCAGCTGAGACTTGCAACTTGAAGTCAGGACTATTCCAGATTTTTTTCTTTAAAAGATCAAACATTTGCCAGTCATGGTGACACAGGCCTGTAATCCCAGGTACTCCTGAGGCTGAGGGAGGAGGATCATGAGTTCAAAGCCAGCCTCAGCAACTTAGTGAGACCCTAAACAGCTTAGCAAGACCCTGTCTCAAATTAAAACATAAAAAAGGCTGGGGATGTGGCTCAGTGGTTAAGCACCCTGGGTTCAATGCCAGATTAACACCCCCCCACCCCCCCACCCCCACAAATCATTTTAAAATTAGCTATGATTTAGAATAGAGTTGGATAAAAATCCCATGGCTAAGTTCATCAAGCTACAGAAGCCTAAGGAAGCAAACAGCTTCCAAGTATACTAGGCATTTCCAACAGCTGGTCAGAGTTGGTCCAGCAAAAATTCTTTGCTCTGCCTTTTGATTCCACACAAATCTCTTTTACTCATTCTTGACTGGTTCAGCATAATTCTATACTTTCTTGACATCAGTCATCTCACTGAACATTCCAAATCTCTTCATATCATCTACCTTACAAAACATTTTTGGGCGAGTTGTTGTTAGAAAGTACAATTTAAATCATTTCATTGGTTTCCTATTCATGTATTATGCATGCCAGTCTCCCATTCAAGAATTCAAGGATTGCTTCTTGACTGTCCCCCTTCACATACTAGATAATTATCTAGAATTACAAAAAAAAAAAAACCTCAAGAAATTGAGGCCTGGGTCCTCCGACAGGCCTGGAAAGAGCTTCACTCTCCATCAGGTCCTTCAGCTTCCCTAAGCAACCATTCACCACAAAGAAACTCCTCTCAGATCTGCTAATGTAATTTTGCAGTTTCCTCACATACTCAATAGGAACTTTGTAAAATGAATCAGCTAAAGTATGTAAACTCTATAGCACAAATCCTAGCACGAAGAAAGGTCTCAACGAATGTTAATTATAATTAACGCAAGGTGCCAACACTATGGAAGACAGTTCTGGATATCATTGTTTTATTTTTTACATTTTTATTAGTGCATTACAGTTGTACATATTGATGTTACATATTCGTACATGCACACGATGTAACAATACAGTTTGCCCAATATCATTCCCCAGCACTTCCCCCTCCCTCCCTGTTTTTTTTAAAGATTTTTTTAATATGGACACAATATCTTTATTTATTTTTATGTGGTGCTGAGGATCGAACCCAGTGCCCCAGATGTGCGAGGCAAGCACTCTGCTGCTGAGCTATAACCCCAGCCCCCTTCTCCGTTTTTTAACGTTAATAGTAAAGCTCCCCACTTCCTCCTTCTGGTGGTGGGGATTAAACCCATGGCTTCGAGCAACATGTATTCTACCACACAGCTACATCCTGGCCTGTAAAATTTAACTTTGATTTTGGAAATGGGCTAATGCGGAAGGCAAAATGTGACTTGCGTTTAACCTGCGGGGTATAAGTCTGTGGGTCTGTACAAAAGGAAGAAGAGCGAGGACACGGGACACCCTTCTCTTTCGTTCACATTCTTTGCAGTAGAACTGTTGGCTCTAGAACACTTGGCCGCTGGAGGAATGACCTAGAATCGACCGCCAGTCGGCCCACCGGGCCACCTCCTTCCCCTCTCCACAGAGCGTTCCGCAGTCTAGTGGAATTCCTCGCCAGGCCCTCCGTAGTCAAGGACGCCGCGATTCTGCGCCGCCACGTGACGTCATCACCAAGCGCCCAAGTGAGCGAAAGGGATTAGGGGCGGGGATTCCCCCCACGACCTTATAAGGTCTTTTCCCATGATTCTCTCCTTCTCTTCGCTGTCTTCCCTTTATCCCAGCAGCCGTCGCCATGAAGTAAGCTTGAATTCCAATCCGCTTCCATCCTCGCGCAGAACCTCTCTTTGGCGTCCTGGGCATGGCTATTACTTGTAAACAGCCCCCTTAATGGGTTTTCACTTTTCGTTATAGGGTCGAGCTGTGTAGTTTTAGCGGGTACAAGATATACCCCGGACACGGGAGGCGCTACGCCAGGACCGACGGAAAGGTAAAAGGCCGCATTAGCTTTTTTTCCTCTGAAAAGGAAAAACCGACCTACTTCAGTGTAAATGGCTTAATTTCTTACCAGTCTGTTGCTTCTGAAAGGGTTCGGGAGCCTTGTGTGGAGTGATGGTTGGAATCAGGAATTTGTAAGTGAACCATTGAGGCTTAATGTAGTGTGAGCCAAGTGGGAAACGAGCGGTTTGTGTAATTAATGACGTAGCGTAAGCGAAGTAACTAGGGTACCCGGATATCTCCTTGTTAGACGGCCACAGGTCCTTTTGCAATCTCGGGAGGGACATGAGCAGAATTATCGGAATTTGATACCCCACCTTTGCTTAAAGCATAGCTTTGCCTCCTTGGGAGTACCGACCAAACGTAGCGACCTTGGGGGTATTAACTCAGTTACTAACAGTTATATGACCTAAGTTTTCTGGTCTCTGTGAGCCCCAATTTCATAAAATAGCTCTAAAATATTTTGACGTGTTTTTAAGCCCAGCGTCCTTTATTTGTATAGCTAGGTAGGTAATGACTTTGGATTTGTGACAACAGGTTTTCCAATTTCTTAATGCAAAATGCGAGTCGGCTTTCCTATCCAAGAGGAATCCTCGGCAGATAAACTGGACTGTCCTCTACAGAAGAAAGCACAAAAAGGGCCAGTCGGTGAGTGGAATACCCTTTGGTGTTGTGGGGCACTCTCTAAAGAAATTTAGCTTCCTGAGCATTGGTTTCTGTCATGTAATTTTTTGACTAAATGAGAGAGTTATTGAAATGTGCTTGTAAAATCTGTAAAGCGTCAGTGAAGTGAAGAGAGATGAGATGATGTACATTTTAGGCTTAGTAGTATGAAGCTGAAATCTGAAAATATCCCTTTGTACAAATTACATTAGTTACATTTGGGTTATAGAGCATGATGGAGATGTTAATGCAGTTCCAATGCGTGATTGAGTCTTCTTATAACTTGGTTTTTAATATAGTCCCCATAGGATTAGCACTAACATAGATTAACGTAGATCACTTTAGTCTCCCAAATTTAAACAGGCTGGTGATGTAGCTCAGTGGTAGAGTACTTGCCTAGCTTGTTGGAGGCCCTGGGTTCAATCCTCAGTATGGGGGTGAGGGGGAATTATTTCTACTTCCATTTTAAAAATGGATTGGATGACTATTGTCAAAAAAAAAGAAATGGGATATTATAGGTGTTGGTGCGTACATGGAGAAGCTGGAACCCTTGTTCATTGCTGGATATAAAATGGTGCAGCCACTATGGAAACAATCATTTAATTCACTGTTAAAATCATTATGATCTGGCATTTCTCTTTTTTTTTTAATATCTATTTCATTTTTATGTGATGCTGAGGATCGAACCCAGTGCCTCATGCATACTAGGTGAGCGCACTACCACTGAGCCACAAACCCAGCCCATGATCTGGCATTTCAACTCTTAAGTTTATACCCCAAAGAATTGAAAATAGGTACTCCCTTAACTTGTATACTGATGTTAATAACACCATTGTTCACAATAGCCAAAAGGTAAAAATGAATGTCCATCAGAAGATCAATGGATAACAAAATGCACAGTTGAATAGCTGTCATTCCAAATGCTTGAAGCAGTAAGTATCTCTGGAATGGAATGTTTCAGGAACTTGGATTAGCTGGGTATTTATAATGAAATATTTTGTTGAGGGACCTAAATCTAATTCATTACGGTTCTTATAAATAGCCTGAAGGTAATTTGATATTTTAACAACTTTTCCACTGTGGTTGCTCAAGAAATTTTGGATTTTAGAGCAGTTTAGATTTTGTGGTTGCAGATGCTCAGCCTGTTACAGGCTTAAAAAAAGGCTAATAACCAGTTGACTTCTTATGAACCTTGAAGATAGGCCAAGTGGAAATACAAAGTTATCTAGAGTAGGCTGGTTAATAGGGAGAAAGAATGGGGAGATATTGTTTAGTGTTTGCAGAGTTTGAGGTGCTTAAAAAAAGTTCAAAATAGATGATTTAAATAGTTCATAAGTAGAAAGCTTACACGTTTTATTTCATTTCAAATAATTGGCATTAATTTTTTTGTTGTTGAGTATAAGTCTTAAAAGACTTCATTAATTTTTGTTTTACAACTCAGTGTTGTTTTTAGTGTCTTATGAATATTGATAAATTCAATTCCCCCCACTAGCCCTTTCTTAAAAATCTTTAAGTCTTATTAAAAGACTTAGGTTAATAAGTGTGCTCCCATGTTTTTGTTTTGTAGGAAGAAATTCAAAAGAAGAGAACCCGGCGTGCAGTCAAATTTCAGAGGGCCATCACTGGTGCATCCCTTGCTGATATCATGGCCAAGAGGAATCAGAAACCAGAAGTTAGAAAGGCTCAACGAGAGCAAGCTATTAGGTAAGAAATGGTTCACTGAACATTTCAACTCTTGGGGGTAAACTTTATGTTTTGTATATAGTCTCATTTGTTTTATTTTTTGGTACTGGGGATTGAACCCAGATGAGCTTTGCTGCTGAGTTACATCCCTGGCCCATTTGATTTTTAATTAAGAGAGACAGTTTCCCTAGGTTCCTGAAGCCTATCCTTAAACTTGGGATCTTCCTGCCTCAGCCTTCAGAGTAGTTGGGATTACTTATAGGCCATTGACACCATGCCAGGCTTTAATTTCTGTTGTGTTGAAATTCTGTGTGCAAACCAAAGAGATGAAAAATTATGCTCTTTATGTGCCATATGAATTGTAATGCATTCTGCTGTCCTATAACAAATTAAAAATTTTTTAAAAAGTGGGAAAAAAAATCCTATGTGGAGGGGCTGGGGTTGTGGCTCAGCAGTAGTGTGCGCGCCTAGCCTGTGCAAGGCCCTGGGTTCGATTCTCAGCACCACATAAAACAAAATAAAGGCATTGTGTCCGACTACAACTAAAAAAAAATATTTAATGAGTAAAAATCCTATTGCAACAACTTTGGAAGTGGAGACAGGAGGATTGCAAGTTTGAGGCTAGCCTCAGCAGCTTAGTTAGACCTTGTCTCAAAAGTTGAAAGGTCTAGGGATATAGTTCAGTGGTAAAGCCAGTTCCCAGTACAACAAAATAAAATGGCATATGCGGTAAAATTTACTGTACTCTGTAATACATGTTAACAAAAGTGACTTGATGATGAAATTAATCCCCTTGGATTTGGGACTTAGCCTAGAAATGAAAAATAGAAATGGGGGGGGGGGGAAGCAATTTGATAGTTCTAAAACTGTAGCTCCGTCTTAATTAGTGGTACTCTTCAGGAGTAAAGTACTTTGTCTAAATTTATCTTTAACTGCACAGGGCTGCCAAGGAAGCAAAAAAGGCTAAGCAGGCATCTAAAAAGACGGCAATGGCTGCTGCTAAGGTAATTGTGGGGGTTTTCTTGAATTTCTTAATATAACCAAGTTTTTGTTTTAAGCCAAAGAGTAGTAAGTGAAAGTAGATACCCAGACTTTATTGGATTTCTGGGTGATTGGTTCAGGTCTCTGAAGTTGTCTTTCTAGGAGTCAATGCGTCTTTTTAATATTAGGTATTGGGAATGGGGAAAATAAATGTGGCTTTTGATTTTTAAACTTTATTTCTTAGAAAAGTTTTGGTTAACAGTGTAGAGTTACACAGCTTTTTTGTTTCCATGATGAAAACTTTAAACTAGAAATAAACATTGGTTCTATACTACTAATAAAAATAGCATCCTTTTTGTATTTGGATACAGTTCATAATCCCAATTGTGTCTCCTTATTCTCCAATCTGTACAGTATCTTTGTCTTTCATTATAAAGATGGAAATGAACTTTTAACATGGGGAGTTACATAAAATTTTGATAAAAGGAACGCAGTTAAATTATTAAGGCAATGTAGTGTATACACAACATATATTTATGAGGTGATAAAAGTTTTGTTAAGTAATGTCATATTATCTTTTTACAGGCTCCCACAAAGGCAGCACCTAAGCAAAAGATTGTGAAACCTGTGAAGGTTTCTGCTCCCCGAGTTGGTGGAAAACGCTAAATTGGCAGATGAGATTTAAAAATAAAGATGTCTATAACTTAGATGGTGTTGAATTTTTGCTCCTAAACAGGCATGTTGGGTCCACATGGTAATAGGTGTACAGTAAAGTTGAATTTAAGACAATTTCAAGTTCATTTCTTGGGGCTGGGGGTATTGATCAAAATTGTAGACTATTTGGTTAGCATACATGTGCTCTGGGTTTGATTTCCTGTGCCAAAATGATGAAAGTTCATTTCTCAGGAATAATGCCTTCTGATGTAACCCTTTTAATTGGAGAAATGTTAAAATAAGGCAATAAAGATGTATGGTTGAATGGTAGCTTTGCTTCAATGTGTTTAGGACACATTACACAGACTGAAAGTACTGCAGTGTTGCATAGATTTAGCCCAAGTTGACTATTCAAATGCTCTTTTCCTGTCATTTCTCTATCCATGACAGACACATTTGTTTTTTATTGGGTTTGCCTTATACATCGGGACCCCCCCCCTTCTCCCACCATTAGCTATTAGCTGATTTGATGGTCCCAAAAATTATCAGCTGTATTAATTAATCTCTTGCTCCCAGAAAATAGCATCCCTCTTTCTATTCTGGCTATATTATTCTGTCTCTGAACCCAGGGACACTGAATAAGAGTATACTGTACTATTCCGAGAGTAATTTGTTGAGCTGTGCCAAATAAAATTGCTCAGTAGCCTGATGATCAAGAGATGTGTAATGTGATAAGGAAAATACTATAATTTGTGAACAGGCTTGTACTCTATAAATGACTTTATTAACTGCCCACCTGTGCTGAGTTGCAAGGATACAAAAATGCATAAGCCATGTCTTAAAACTAAGCTTTCTCAAGGTGAAATTATGGTCCATGTCAACATTTCCATCATCACCATTTATCCACGATAATGGATTACAAATTTTCTTCCCCTGGTTAATGTTAAATTCAGGCATTATTCTAATTGTTGGGTATAATAAATAGGTTTGCAGAGAACCTGAAAAATAATTTTATGTGTAACCAGTGTTATGCAATGAATAAGATATACTGATAAACATATATGATTAAGGTTTTTCTTGGAAAAAAAGCCTTTTGGTGTTAGTTACAATATTAGTGAATATCGACGAAAATAAGGTCACTAGCTGAAAAAGGAAAGTTAAAAGCCAAAATATCCAAATGAATGCTGAGCTGTTGATTTTTGGACACAAAATCTCCCCTTGTAAAATGTCATTTCCCTTGTCAGATGGATCTACCAATTGTAATTGCCCTGGAGTCCCAGGGAGCTCAGAATTAGCTAGAAATAAACACTTGATTGCCAATTCTCAGTACAAATTTCAGCTTTGCTCCCTCAGGAAGACACTCTTGACCACAGGAAACCACTTTTGTTAAAACACTTGTTTCTTGTCCCAAAGGAGAATTAGGAGAATCAATGGACTTCTCAATGTGTAACAACACCACATTGTGTTCTGCAAAAACTGAACTTGGTGGAGGAATGTTTTTATAACTTGGGTTTTCTTAAATAGTATTTGCCACTTCCCATTTGTATTGGTTTTTTTTTTTTTTTTTAAGACAGGATCTCTCTCCAAGTTGCTCAACACCTTGCTAAGTTGCTAAGGCTGACTTTGATTTTGTGATCCTCCTACCTTAGATGCTCTAATGGCTGGGATTGCCAGCTTGCTCCACCATGCTTTTCTGAAAACAACAACAACAAAAAAACCTTAGCTTCCTTGCTTATAGAGCACTATTTAATTGATATGAAAGTCAATTTTGTTTTTAAAGTTGTTGAGTACCTTCATTTATTTATGTGCAGTGCTGAGAATCTGGACCCAGTACCTCACACATGCCAGGCAAGCACTCTACTCCTGGGCCACAGCCCCAATTCTGCCTCCTCCCAGCCATTGTTTTTGAGTCGGTCTGGATAAATTTTCTAGGCATTATCCAAACTTGGGATTCTCCTTTCTCAGCCTCCCTAGGAGCTAGGACCATGGGTGTGGGTTAATCTATTAACTTTTCATATTTAGTTTTAAAGGGAGTTGACATCACAAGAGTGCTGAGGCAGGCTCACCGCATAACAAGCCGGCTCCTCTGAGGGTAGATTTTGATATCCCTTTTCACTGTTCCACTCCAGGGGTGCATTACCATCTTCTAATTTCTCCCAATTACTATCAAGAAGTCTGCAAGTTAAGTAATTCTAAATAGAACCCAGCCCTAACAGTCTTGCTGTTTGTCCCCTGCAACTAAGCTACTATATGACCCTTACAAGGATCAGTCTTAAAAAAGAGATCCCAGAACCACGTGGGAAAAGAGGTTGGCAGTGTCTGTAGCCAACTCCCTGGGAAGCCTGGAATTTTTATCGGCTTCTGCAAGGTAATGCAGGTATCCAATTCGACAGGGAATGTAGGCTTTTGTAAGCACAGCAGATCTACCCCAGGAAAGGGTACCCAAGACCACACTGTACTACCAGCTTTAAAAAAAAAAAAAAACCTTAATTAGGACCCTTAGCGCACATTGGGAAATGCAGTTGAAGTCTGTTTAGCCTCTTGCGCCCTTATAATACATTAAGTGTAAAACAGAGGCCTTCCCCCCTAAATTTATGTAAAAATATATGCAAATAAAGCTAAACGGCACTAGCTACCCCTTCCCATTTCTTTCCAACACGATTGGCTCATCATCATACATGCGGATCCTTCCAGAAAAATCCTGCTTATTCCTTGGGTAATTGCGGGGGCGGGGGGGGGGGGGGAGGGACAGGGTTTTATAGACAGAAAACTTCTAACATTGAATGCCTTAGGTATTATAATCTTTGTTATGCCTACATTTTCATGTGAATGTGTCCAGTGACATTTGCTAAAGCCTGAATATCTGATGCTTTTATGTCAGGTATCTCAAGGTAGACAAAAACGAACTCATTTACCCTTTGGGGTGTTTCGGGAGGGATAAGCACTGCCCACCAGCTCCTACAAGTGGCTCTTCGGAACACGGGAAAGGGAAAAATAAAAAGGGAAACTGCCAGGACTTAAGATGGCTGCTCAAAACCCCTTCTATTTCCTAGGAAAATCCTACCCGCTTCCAAAATGTCTGCCCGCAGTGCTGACGTCATTTGATCCGCTCCCTCAAGACAGAAAGCGAGAACACTCCAATCCGGGCTCAGTCCACGCCTTTGGCTTGCGTCACTTCCGATGGTGCAGCAGCCATTTTGTCAGTCGCGAGCGGATCCCGCGCGCTGGAGAAGTGCAGTTCCCCCTGGTTACCAACTCGTCCGTTCTCCCTTCAAGCTCCCGGCGCTGTCCAAGAGCGCTCACCAAAGGCGGAGCCGTTCCTCCGCAGAGTGCGGCCACTGCTGTTGCATCTACCCGGGGCTAGTGCGCTGTCTTCCTCCACCACCACTGACAGGCGCCCTCAGGGAGCCGTCGTCCGCGATGTCAAGCGAGGAAAGCTACCGGGCCATCCTGCGCTACCTGACGAACGAGCGCGAGCCCTACGCGCCGGGCACCGAGGGCAATGTCAAGCGTAAAATCCGCAAGGCTGCTGCCTGTTACGTGGTGCGCGGCGGGACTTTGTACTACCAGCGGCGGCAGCGGCACCGCAAGACCTTTGCGGAGCTAGAGGTAGTGCTGCAACCGGAGCGGCGCCGGGGCCTCATCGAGGCGGCACACCTGGGCCCTGGCGGCACTCACCACACCCGGCATCAGACCTGGCACGACTTGTCCAAGACGTACTGGTGGCGAGGTTAGACCTGACCCGCGGCGAGGGTGCGGGACGGCGGCAAGGCCTGCTAGCGCGGCCTGTTGACCCACCACGAGCTGGAGGGTCTTGTACGCCTCTTGCCGAGCCATCCCGCGCTTGGTATCGGAGCGGCTGCCAGGCGGCGTCGAGAGGGTGGGGGACGCGAAAGGAGCCGCACTTCCCACAGGAAGAAGGCCGGGAAGCTGGGGGCGGACCCTCGCCCGGGGTGGGGCCAAGGGGGCTTCCCCGGGGGCCGGGCCAGCGGCAGGGAGGGCGGGACGCCCGCGCCGGGCCGGCCCGCCTCTCTAGGCAGCCCCGGAGGCGGTGGCGCGGTCCCTCGAGAGGTGGCTGTGGTGATTGGCCCGGGATGCTGCGGCTTTTGCCTTTTAAAGTCTGCAGATGATTTTGGTCAGGGACGGCTCGAGCCCAAACCTGGCTGCTGTTTCCAGTGCATTCTGCGCGCGTTTTGGGGAATGGGTTTGAATTTTGCTGGATCTACTGGCCTTATTAAGATTCTCCCTCTATGGCGTACATAAGGAATAATCAATTTGTGTGTAGACTGAAAAAGAGTAATCGTTGAACAGTCATTTTGAATCTCAAGTTTATTGCGATAGTTAAATATAAAGACCATCAGGTACTTTTAATTCCGAATGTTTTAGTGTTCTTCCCTCTGATTCTGGGAACTATGGCGGCACTTTGTATACACAGAAAAGATGCGGATACTGTAATTGTTTTTACTTAATTGTCAGAATTTAATCTCTAAAGTTTCTTAACTCCTTGGAAACCAGTTTAGTAGAGGAGAGCCGGTGCCCTTGGGTTCTTAACCACCTTCCCTTTCCACAAGTTGGAAAATACTAAACCACTCAGAATTAGTTTATAGGCTCATGTTTGAAGACGCTTTGTCAAAAAGGAAGGATTCTGCTACTCTCTGTAGGACTCTGGAGAAATTAAATCATGAGTCTTGTTTTTTTTTTTTCTTTAAATAAAGAAATTAGGCTATGGTCCTAGTTTCTAAAGTTTTGTTTTATTGTTTTTTTATGAGCTTTGTGCATAAAAACTATTCATTTATGAACTTTTGTTTTTTAGAGAATTCTTTTTCGTTTTCAAAACAGTTTGGATCTATATTCTCAAAGGCTTTCCCTTTTCTATTTTAAACGAATATCTGAATTAAATTACTCTGAAGAGTAAATGTAGGGTGAATGCAAGCCACCGTTAGGTTCATTCAGATTTTTTTAAATTCTAAATTGATTATCTTGGTGGTATCTAATCCAGTTTTTGTTTTTTGGTTTTAGTATGCCTTGTCTTAAAAGACGGGGTGGGGGGAGGACCCTGAGACACTGTTTCTGTTAGCTTAATTTTAAAATGAAAGAGTTATATTTGTAGTTATGTGGAATTTCAAAATCCCTGAACACTTAGAGCAGCTAGCTATTCTCAAAGTATAGGAAACCCTGGAGGAAAAGAAGGTTAAAATCTGCCAGGTTAAAATTATTTTATTATACTAATAAAGTATTTTTTTAATGCATTCTCTCCCAAACATACAGTGGAGTTTTCCACAGGTTACATGATAGATGTTATATCACAACAGATTGAAGACAGAC